ATATTACCTTACCCTTGTCGGAATGGCTAGTATTAAAAAAAAAAAAGCGAGAAATGACAAGTGTTGGTGAAGATGTGGAGAAAAAGGAACCCTCATGCGCTGTTGGTGGGAATGTAAATTGGTGCAGCCACTGTGGAAAACAGTATGGAGTTTTCTCAAAAAGTTAAAAATAGAAATATGATCCAGTAAATCCACTACTAGGTATTTACACAAAGAAGATGAAAACACTAATTCAAAAAGATACATGCACCCCTATGTTTATTACATCATTATTTACAATAGCCAAGGTATGGTAGCTGCCCATGTCCATTGATAGATAAATGGATAAAGAAGGCTTGATACACATACACGATACACATACACAATGGAATATTACTTAGCCAAAAAAAATGAGATCTTAACATTTGGGAGACATGGGTAGACCTAGAGGGTATTATGCTAGTGAAATAAGTCACACTGAGAAAGAAAAATAACCATATGATTTCACTTATACGTGGAATCTAAAAATCAAATGAATGAACAAACAAAAAAAGCAGAATCAGACCTGTAAGTACAGAGAACGAACCGATGGTTGCCAGAGGAGAGGAGAATGGGAAGATGGGCAAAATGAGTGACTTCCAGTTATGGAATGAATAAGTCATGGGAATGAAAGGTACAGTATAGGATACACACCATCCATGATATTGTAACAGTGTCCTGTGGTGACAGATGGTAGCTACGCTTGTGGTGAGCACAGCATAACATGTAGAGTTGTCCAATCACCATGTTGTATACCTGAAATTAAAGTAACATTATGTGTCAATTACAGTTCACCTTAAAAGTATGTATCTAGAAATGTTGGGTAAAATGTAACAAAATGCCTGACTGAGCTCCAAAGTTACAAAAGGGAATGCCCCAGGGGCCAACAATGAAAAGGAACGGAAAACCAGAGACATTAGGTGGGCTGACACTGCTGCTACCCCAGAGTAGATTATCTGAGTAATCTAAGGCTCCTGTGTTAACTTCCAGGTGAGGACAGAGCACCAAGCCCATAGACTGTGTGGGTGTGTGGGAGGGGGAGTTGAACCTGAGTCTCATGTGTAGCTGGGATCCTTGGAAGTCTAAACCTTGAGTGGCACGTTGTCAAAATAAGAGATATTTGTATTGTCTCTGCTTTCTAAAGTCCATCAGCTGATCAATTTGGCAGGTCTATCAGTATTTGAAATGTGATTATCTCCCAAATTATAGGATATTTATAAAAATTTCCAATCATTATTAATGACTGTGTTCAATATGCTTTATTTGTAAGAGAAAAAAATGAGAATCTGCCCCATGTCCAGCAAGAGTAGAATGGTTAAATGAATACTGTATAGGGCGCCTGGGTGGCTCAGATGGTTAAGCGTCTGCTTTCGGCTCAGGTCATGATCCCGGGGTCCTGGGATCAAGTCCCGCATCGGGCTCCCTGCTCAGTGCAGAGCCTGCTTCTCCTTCTCCCTCTACCATTCCTTCTGCTTGTGCTCTTCTATCTCTCTGTCAAATAAATAAATAAAATCTTGGAAAAAAAAAAGAATACTGTATAGCCATTAAAAGGAATGAAATTGATCTTCATGTATGAAAATGGTAAGGATGTCAAGACATGTTAAGATTTTTTAAAAGGCAAGCTATAGAACAACCTTATTCAACTAATGAATCATTGCACATTATATCAAAAACTAATGATGTCCTATACCTTGACTAGTTGAATTTAAATAAAAAGACAAAATCTAAAATTTTCTAATTTATTAAAAAAAGAACAGCATTATTCAATAGAAGCAGAATGCAGACCACACAGTAATTTCAAATTTTCTAGTAGAAATATTTTAAAATGTAAAAAGAAGTAGGTGAAATTAATTGTAGTGGTGTACTTTATTTGACTCAGTATATCCAAAATATTTAAGCATGTCATCAATATAAAATTATTGATGAGGTATTTTACATTATCTTAATATAAATCTTCAAAACCTGATGTGTGTTTTACACCAACACCACGTCTCAATTTAGACAAACCACATTTCAAGTACTCAGTAGCTGTAGTAAGGGATAGTGCAGCTACAGAACAAATGTGTAGTATCCAAATTTTCAAACAACTTTAAAACCAGCTATATAAGTATTGTATAGAAACAGAAAACACGGAGCGCCTGGGTGGCTCAGCTGGTTAAGCATCTGCCTTTGGCTCAGGTCACGATCCCAGGATCCTGGGATCGAGCCCCGCATCGGGCTCCTTGCTCAACCAGGAGTCTGCTTCTGAAACCTCTCCCTCTCCCTCTGCCTCTCCCCTGGGCTTGTGCTCTCTCTCTCTCACTCAAATAAATAAAATCTAAAGAAAGAAAAGAAACAAGACACTAAAGAGAAACAAGAAAAGACTAAAACAGCCATTTCTATGGAGTGGGGTCATGGGGAAAGGTGTTCAGGGCTTAGTTTATAAACATTTCTATTTGAATTTACTATATGAGGATTTTAATTACTGAAAAAGTAAAAGAAAATGTTTTGGAATTAGATGGTGGTGATGGTTGTACAATGCTGTGAGTGTACCAGAAATTATTGAATCTTACACTCTGAAATGAAGAAACCAGTGAATATTTTGTTACGTGAATTTTATCTCAACTTTTCAAAAATACGGATCTAGAACAAGATTCCCAACTTTGGGTAGGGGGAAGAATAAGACAAATGAGTTAAGAGTGCTGTTGGGATTATAAATGCTTTTAATTTTTTCTAATTTTCTCCAGTACACATGTATTGCATTTCATATGGAGGTGGTGGTAAAATAAAACCATTTAGGAGAGAAAGGTCTTCTCCCTTGACAAAATCTGTGTGCTTTGGAAACAATACCATGTTCTTGTGTTGGCAAGTACACAAAGTCTAACTCTTGTCCAGCCTGTGAAGTATACACCTGTCCGTGCCATGTTTAACCGCCATTTGGTAAAACAAAGAAGCCATTTGCCTTTTGCTATAGGGTGTCAAACAGCAGAACTGATAGTCCTTTCCTTCTCTGTGTCTTCGGATGTTGTAAGGACAGGGCTGTGTGCTTGCATTTTGAAACAGAGCAGTCCTGGGTATTGAGCTCAGGTTGCCCGGCTTCCAGCTTTAGAACTTAAATTCTCTTTGACCTGGCTGGCTTCCTGTCCTTGCCTTGTGCTTCTGCTGTTCACCTGGTAACACGAGGTGGTAAATGCTTGCTTCTTTGGAGTGGGGAAGGGAATGTGTTAGATAAGTTCTTCAAAGCACCAAGAGATGAAAGGTCCAGAAAAATAAAAGGTTCTTCAACCCCACCAGAGACTCGAATCACCCAAAAGTAAATGGAGAAGAACTTATGTAACCACTCTTTGTCTTCCAATAAATAAACAGATAGGAGCTGAGTCACAGAGTCTCAGAGGCTTCTCTTAACCCTTGAATGCCCGGTGTTTTTCATAGGCTCACCAGAATGCTGAGATTTCCGCTGTGCGTGCTTAGGGAAGTTGTTTTGTTTAGACCTCACCCGACATCTTACTCTCCCAATAACTCCATACGGGGTAAATGAAGGAGAATTCACAGGACAAGATGACATTGCCCAGGTTTTAAATGCCTTGAAGACCCTACTGTCATTTAAGGTATTTGTAGAGTGGAACTTAATTTGCTTCAACTGCCTGGTTTGTTGTGACTGAAGTAGAATCTCATGGACCTGGGAAAGGAGGGCAAGATGTAGAAAGTAAATAAACAGGTTGCAGAACAAACTGTAAGCCTGACCCCTTCAGTGTGTAGAAAATCTATGAAATTATGTATCTATGTATCTATCTTGGATTTATCTATGTATTTATCATCTACCTACCTATCTACCTATTAATCCATCTTGGTGAATGGATAGAAATGGCCATATGGTTACCACTACCTACCCCTGGGAGCGAGAATAGAGTGTATAGAGAGCAAGGGGCAAGGAAGGACTCTCACTTTTTACTTTACATGTTTCTGTATTGTTAACATGTTACTGGGTTGTTTTGTATCAAAAGAGATTTAATAAAAATTGCCAACTGTAATCATAACTACCCCTCTGACAGTCCTCGCAGACGGCTCACAAAGTGTCCAGAAAGAGTTAACACAGAGACTTCCAGATGTTTGTAGTGAGGACAAACTCCTGATTTGGTGGTGGGGGTGGGGGAATGGTTAGAGGTGAGAAGCAGCAGAAAGTGAGGAAGGGAGGGGAGGGAGGGCTGGCCACCCAGTTCTCACCCTAACCAATAGCACAAAAGTTCCAGGCCCAACGCCCATTTGTGCAGACTATTTCAGGAGTCAAGAATTGCATCTAAGCCCATTGTCACTGTGACCTGTGAAAGAAGAACACTAAGAGAGCTTCCAGGTTCGTCTCCTTAGAGGCTGTTTCTCCTTTAGTTGGAAGGTAAAATCTCAAGCCTCAGCTAATCTGGTGGTGGTAACTGGGATGTATGCTTTTTTCTCTATGGTGTATTGACTTCTTTTTCCACAGGGCAGTAAGATGCTTATGGGATAGGGCTTTATTTTTGCTAATGACAAGATTAACACTAAATTTCTAACCACATGGAATGCCTTTTCCCGGTTCTTCTTATTTGCAGAGGGCAAGACAAAGTCTGTTGAAGCTAATATTAGGGAGACTCTTGGGTAGGCTTTGCATGGAAAGGAGGCAACACATAGTCTTTGACGGTTTCACAGTTTTCATGTCATTTCCCCTTGGTTGCACTGAGAGCAGTTAAACTTTTATGGGCATTAGGGTTGCCCACAGCAAATCTCACAGCAGATAAGTAGTCCATGGAACGGTCTTTGCTATTGTTATACAATGGGTTCTTGCTTTATTTTCTATCTCAGCAAAGGGTCTTAAAACTCCCCTCCTTCACAAGAAAGCATGAGAAATGTAGCAAAACAAGGCAGTTTGGGAAGACATGCCTAGTGAAATCACCCTGATTTGTAGGTCCAAATATGGCCCCCCAGAATGGTGCTCTGCTCTTAGAGTCACAGGGACCTCCTTTTCCCCGTAGGCTCCGCTAGCGATGGACCCATATGTGATTCAGATGAGCAGCAACAGCAACCTCCCCTCCATTCTGGATGTGCACGTCAACATTGGTGGGAGAAGCTCCTTGGTGGGAAAAATGAAAGGCAGGAAGGCCAAATGGTCAGTGAAGCCTTCAGACATGTCCAACAAAACTTTCAATCCTATCCGGGCCATTGTGGACAGCATGAAGGTGAAGCCAAATCCAGACAAAACCATGATTGCTCTGTCAATTGGTGAGTTGGGGACACTCTGGTGAGGGGGGACCATTGTTGCTCCTACCCCCTTTCTCACGGCTGGTTGGAGATGAGAGTAGAGGGAGAGTCTGAGCACTGGGCATGGAAGAGTAACATCTTGGTGGCTCCTTTTTTTTTCTCCCATGAAAAGGGGACCCTACTGTGTTTGGAAACCTGCCTACAGACCCTGAAATTACCCAAGCCATGAAAGACGCTCTGGACTCGGGGAAGTATAATGGCTATGCTCCCTCCATTGGTAAGTTTCTCCTGAGACTCTGTCCGGTGGCTTCCAAATCTTTAGTGCTCTTCTATTAGCAATAAATTTCTAGCAGTTCTCCTTGCTTCCTTGATGCATAGTCCCTAAGGAGAGGCTAAAACAAAATGGTCGTTTGGATTTGGGGAAGGAGGTCTCAGAATGCTTAAACACAGCCACCAAGGTCCAGCTTCTTTCCTGGCTTCCTTTAGCACGCTGACCCCTCCTCTCTAAGCTCCCATTCACATACTTCTTTCTCAAATAGCACTCCTCTCCTGTCATTGCTAATTCTAGTAGGAAGGCCTTGAGTTTGGTTGCAGCTGCTTGTTCATTGAGCCCTGTAGGTCCTAAATTAATTTACTTACTGCACCATGTAAATAGCTTCTTGGCTTTATTTCCCCTTCTCCATACATTCGTAGGTTATTTTAACTAGGGTCCTGACCGCATTCAAATGCAGTTGTAGCTGTTTCGGATGAAAGAGATAAAAACAAACTAGAATATAAGGAAGGGGGCATCCTACTGAAGAGTAGAAGGTTGTTTCTGACAGAAAGAAATTATTCTTATTTAGGTGTTTTTAAAATATGTTTCCGATGTACAGCTGTATAATATGACAACTGTATACACTACAAAGTGATCACCACCCCAAGTCTGGTTACCATCCATCACCATACAGTTGACCCCTTCACCCATTTTGCCCATCCCTATTCTTACTTAGGTTTAACTGTCTCCATCTATTTAAACATTTTCACATTAAACATTTTAATAAAATCAGGTATCCTTTGACTTTATTTCAATGTGTTGCACATCTGTCTGTAATGTGCACCTAGCAACATATTCTTTTCTTTTTTAATTATTTTTATTTTTTTATTTGAATATAGTTGACACACAATGTTACTTTAGTTTCAGGTGTTCAACATAGTAATTCAACATCTCTGTATGTTATTGTGCTCAGCGCAAGTGTAGCTACCATCTATCACCATACAACGCTAGTACAATATCATTGACTATATTCCCTATGCTGTGACTTTTATTCTCATGACTTACTCATTCCACAAATGGAAGCTGTATCTCCCTGTCCCGTTCACCCATTTTTGCCCTTTCTCCTACCCATCTCCCCCTGGCAGCCATCAGTTTGTTCTCTGTATCTATAGGTCTGATTTTGATTTTTTTGTTTGTTCATTTGTTTGTTTTTTAGATTTCACATGTAAGTGAATTTGTCTTTCTCAGTCTGACTTATTTCACTTAACATAATACCCTCTAGGTCCATCCATGTTGTCGCAAAGGCAAGACATAATAACATATTTTTAATGTAGAATACAAATCCAGTTTCATGCTAAAATAGAATTTTTAAAAAGATTTTATTTTTATTTATTTGACAGAGAGAGAGCGCACAAGCAGGGGAGTGGCAGGCAGAGGGAGAGGGAGAAGCAGGCTCCCCGCTGAGCAGAGAGCCCGATGTGGGACTCAATTCTCGGACCCTGGATCATGATCTGAGCCAAAGGCAGAGGCTTAACCGACTGAGCCACCCAGGTGCTCCACTAAAATATAATTTTAAAAACACTTCAGAGAGGGGCGCCTGGGTGGCTCAGTCGGTTGGGTGTCTGCCTTCAGCTCAAGTCATAATCCCAGAGTCCTGGGATTGAGCCCCACATCAGGCTCCCTGCTCATTGGGGAGCCTGCTTCTCCCTCTCCCACTCCCCCTGCTTGTGTTCCCTCTCTTGCTGTGTCTCTCTCTGTTAAATAAATAAATAAAATCTAAAAAAAAATAAATAAATAAAAAACACCTCAGAGAGATCTGAGGGACATAACTTTTAGGTTGATTGTTTATACTTTATAAAGTTTCATACAACAAAAATAAAAACAAAGTAAGACCAAAAATGAGGTTTTATCTCATTAAAACAAGTTTATAACTTTTATACCCAAAGTATTAGGGAACTGATTCAACCTGAAAAACCAGAACCAATTTTCCATGTGACAAATATTCAAAGGATATGAACATTTCATGCCAAAAGAAATACAGATCATAATATATATCTAGGAAAATGCTCTTCCTTATGAATAATTAAGGAAGTGCTGATTTATATAACTTAAAGACTTTATTAAGTGGAACATTATGAAATATTGCATCTAGACTTTCTGATTGAATGGAATCTTTTTGGAAAACAATTTTGCAAAACATAATTTGTATGCTACTAACTCTACTCCAAGTTTATAAGCCAGCATTTGGAAATATTGTCCAAGAATAGAATTTAAAAGAAAAAAATTGTGCAAAACCACTAATAGGTATATCATATGATCTAAAAAACTTAAAAGGGACCCAATGTATTGAATGCATTGATTGTAACTTTTCAAAAAATATAGTCCCTGGAAGGAATTTAGGAATAATCTAAATCCTGTTGTTTTTTTTTTTTTATTGAAAAATAAAACATAATCACAGTAACCAAGATGGTGCAGAGTATTTTATAGTTTGGAGAATTCTCCTTGTTATTATTCATACATTTGAGCTTTTTTTTTTTTTAAGATTTTATTTATTTATTTGAGAGAGAGCATGAGCAGGGCAGAGGGAGAGGGAGAAGCAGGCTCCCCATTGAGCAGGGAATCCACCTCGGGGCTCGATCCCAGGACCCTGGGATCATGACCTGAGCTGAAGGCAGACGCTTGACTGAGCCACCCAGCCGCCCCCATACATTTGAGCTTATTATAAAAATGTAAAACATCAAGTCAATGTCTTTTCTCTGTGGTGGCTGAGAGCTAACCTGAATAGCACGTGCTCTAAGCAGGAGCAGAAGGTAGCTGGAAGCCCTCTTAACTCTAGAGCATAGTGATCAGCTTCTCCCTTCTACTCTTTCAGGCTACTTATCCAGTCGGGAGGAGATTGCTTCTTACTACCACCGGCCTGAGGCACCCCTGGAAGCTAAGGTAAGCCTTAGACAATGTATCAGCTCTGAAGCGGTATTGGGCAATCTGTACTTTTTTCCTTGTTTCTGTCCCACAAGGAATAAGGATTGCAGGGGGAACAAAAGGTGTGGAGAATTGCCCTTCTCATATAGTGAGGCCACTAATCCATGATTTTATATATATATATATATATTTAAAGATTTTATTTATTTGTTAGAGAGAACACAAGCAGGGGGAGCTGCAGAGGTAGAGGGAGAAGCAGGCTCCCCGCTGAGCAAGGATCCCGATGCAGGACTCGATCCCAGGACCCTGGCTGGGATCATGACCTGAGCTGAAGGCAGATGGTTAACTGACTGAGCCACCCAGGCATCCCCTAATCCATGATTATATTTAATGTCATTACAGTATGATGAGGATGTTGCATACAATTTATGTGATGTCCTGTCTTAAGGAGGCTCAAAGGACTCAGAGGTCCCCCTATATTTGATTCTTTGCGAAAGATCATTAAAAAACAATAATTCATAAACACCAAATAAGTAACATTTTTTATTTTACCAGAAGGATCTTTTCTTAAATTTGCAGCTTCCCTCACTCACCTGAAGTTCACTCAGTTGGGAAGATCGAGGTACTATGGCATATCGAATCGATGGCGGTGCTAAGTGTAAATGTCTCTCTCCCTCTATTGTCTACTGTGTGTGGTTGATATTTCTTAACATAAGAGGTGCCCTCGGTCTGTATTTCAGAGAAGAGTCAGGCCTCAAATTTATGGTCAAAAATAAATAAATAACCACGTGAAAAAGGCCAAGGTCAAAATGATCTCTCATGGAAGTCTGCTGAGTCACAGCTGCCATGTCCCTTTTAAAGTGATTTTTACTTCTTTTTTAAAAAAGATTTATTTATTTAGTTTAGAGAGAGAGAGAGAGAGGAAGAACAGGGAGGGGCAGAGGAAGAGGGAGAGGGAGAATCTCAAGCAGATTCCCTGCTGAGCATGGAGCCTGATGCGGGGCTCGATCCCATGACCCTGAGATCATGGTCAGAGCCGAAATCAGGAGCCAGATGCTTATCCGACTGAGCCACCCAGGTGCCCCAAGTAATTTACGTCTTTTAAGTAGTCAACATTTTCAACATTTAGGTATGGATATACACAAACATTAATTTCTTTCAATTTTGGCTTAGTACAGTCTTTACTACTTTACTTAGAACTTGTAAAAGTAAGTTTATCATTGCTCCCCATTCACCCATCTGATAATCTCTTTTCTCTTGTTGCTGTGGAACCCCTCACAAAGTGAGCCTTTTCTCTCTTTACAGGATGTCATTCTGACTAGTGGCTGCAGTCAGGCTATTGAACTTTGTTTAGCTGTGTTGGCCAATCCGGGACAGAACATCCTAGTTCCGAGACCTGGTTTCTCTCTCTATAGGACTTTGGCTGAATCGATGGGAATTGAGGTCAAACTGTACAATTTATTGGTAAGCAACTTTTTAATTTTAGACTCAAGGGCTCAATTATTATGTCGTAATAATATATGACCATTATCTTAGCACAGAAAGATCCGGAAGTGGGTGGTGGAGGCCACAAACACATTTTATTATTTAGAAGACGCTGTTAGGTGAGTGTTCCCCCTAAATTTTTCAGAATCATCTTAGTCTCACCCTTTCTTCCTCCCCAGCCAGAGAAGTCTTGGGAAATTGACCTGAAACAACTGGAATCTCTGATTGATGAAAAGACAGCTTGTCTCATTGTTAATAATCCATCAAACCCCTGTGGGTCAGTGTTCAGTAAAAATCATCTCCAGAAAATTCTGGCTGGTAAGTCCATCAGACTTCATTTGACAGGAGCAGATATGGGGATGGAATCCTTTATCTGTTTCCTGGAATGAGAAGAGTCAGTTCCAAGCTGAGGATGGAAATGGGGGAGCTCCACGGGGGTCTCCAGTGAATAGTGTGCCACGGGAACGGTAGGACTTGCCTGCAAGACGAAAAAGGCAACACTTGCCTCTGCACCATTTCCATATGTGGAAGAGAGGGTTTGAAATATCCAGTTGATTAAATGGCAGATTTAGGCTCTGTACCCTGGAAGGGTATAAGAAGAATATATAGTTCTTAAAGAGGAAAACAAAACACACAAACATGAAATGCAAAGTAAAAGAAGTCCAGGTGAATATTAATTGCTAAGGCAATTCACATTAAAAATTATTTGAGCCTGTTTCTCTTATTTTCAGTGGCGGCAAGGCAGTGCATCCCCATCTTGGCTGATGAGATCTATGGAGACATGGTAAGTCTTGGGAAGGATATATCACTATAATAATCTCATATCCAAATTATTTCATGGAACCTTTAGAGGTGGCATCTAGAATAACCAGAAGTAATTCCTAATCGTTTCAGTACAGCAAATCAGTATCCCTGTTCTCTAAATAAATAGATCGGGGTGCCTGGATGGCTCAGTCGGTTAAGCATCCAACTCTTGATTTTAGCTCAGTCATGATCTCAGGGTTGTGAGATCGAGTCCCGTGTCAGGCTTTGCACTGAGTGTGGAGCCTGCTTAAGATTCTCTCTCTCCCTCTCCCTTTCCCCCTCATCCCCCCACCTTAAAAAAACATACATATAGATCTACGACACCTTAGCCAGTTTTCCAAAGTCCAAAAAGCTATGAAAATCTGAAGATTTTTGAAATTCATTTGGTGGAAAAACCTGACTTGACCTGATATAAAGATATTTGTAGATTTTTTTATATATCTCACTTACAGATCTATATATTTGTCAAAAATGTAAGGAAAGGGACAGAAATGTTAATATGCTTGATTAGGAGTGCTGTCCCAGACTGCCTTGGTGTTAGGTAATGTATGATACATGTGCTACATAACGTCTCCAAAATCCAAACAGTTCTGCATTCTGCAACATTTACATACGGGCCCAGGAATTTCAGACAAAGGGTTGTGGGCTCCTATTTTATTTTTAGATCTCTAATTCCAACAGACATTCATTCCCTAGAGCGAGCTTCATTGGGTTATACATATTCCTAGGCTAGAATCAGTGTCCTCATTGTAGGCTTCCTTTAATCCAGACCAGACACCAGATTAAATATCTTGAGATAGTCTCCTTTGAAGCCTCTTGGGCTCCCAATTATGCTTTGGGGTAGGATGAGCCCAGAAATCCAAGGCCCTGTCCCTAGTTATACAAGGTAAAGGGTGGGAGACGGGATTTGGAGGAAAATAAGCCAGAATACAACTCTAACAAGCATCTCCTCTCCTCAGGTGTTTTCGGATTCCAAATTTGAGCCTCTGGCCACCCTCAGCAGCAACGTCCCCATCCTGTCCTGTGGAGGGCTGGCCAAGCGCTGGCTGGTTCCTGGCTGGAGGTTGGGCTGGATCCTCATTCATGATCGAAGAGACATTTTTGGCAACGAGGTAAGAACAATGTGGTGAAATGGTATGTCTAATTTAGTATACATACATGTATTTACTTTGCATGCACAGTGGTTGGGAGGTGATTTTTGCTGTTGTGTTTTTTCCTTCTTCTTGGCCCTGTAGTTTCTGGGTGCCTGGAAAGATGCCCGAAAGATGGTACTAGTTATTCCTCTCCAAAACTCAGTTTTCCTGTACCTGGCTCTGTGAAGAAGTTCCATCTGCTTCTGATTTTAGGACCGCAAAAAAAGGAAACAGTAGCTCTAATGAGACCTGATATTGTTTGCAGGCTTACGATGGGCCAGAGTTCAAAATACGTTATTTTAACTTAATCCTCCCAACAACCCAATGAGGCCAGGATTAGTATTATCTACATTTTTCGGGTGAGACACATGAGGCACTAAGATGTTGTATAATTTGCCCAGAGTCACACAGGAGGCGTGTGACAGAGCTGGGCTGAAACCCAAGCGGTCTGATCCAAGAATGCTACTAGGCATCATCACTTCCCCAGAGATTAAAAACCTGATGAAAAGAATGGTCAGAACAAGAATCCCCAAAGCTGGAACACTTAAGGAAGGCTAAGTAATATGTTTGCCGGGGCACTTTAGATCCGAGATGGGCTGGTGAAGCTGAGTCAGCGGATCCTGGGGCCCTGCACCATCGTCCAGGGAGCTCTGAAAAGCATCCTGCATCGCACCCCTCAGGAGTTCTATCACAACACTCTGAGCTTCCTGAAGGTAAGGGCAGCCCATGGCCTTCCACTCTGGCAGTCAGGGAAAGCCACCAGGGGAATTAGGAATAATGGGTCTTCATTTCTGGAGCAATGTCCCATTACAGGGCTTCTAAATCAGGTGGCATTAGTGTAACCATCCACCCTGACATTTATCTCATTTCTGGCACTTCAACTCGGCTCTGGTCCAAAAGCTTCCAGTGATTGGGCTTTTTCTTGTTGACTCCTTATGCCAGCAGAACAAACGTAGGTTCCCTGCCTTCGGCGTGGGCTCTACTTTTAATGACTTGCTTTTCTTTCACTTAAATTTTGATCCTTGACATCTTTCTTCCTCCTCTTATAGTCCAATGCTGATCTTTGCTATGGGGCATTGGCTGCCATCCCTGGACTCCAGCCAGTCCGTCCTTCCGGGGCCATGTACCTCATGGTAAGTGTGTGGGTGGCAGGCATTTGCTGTAGGGCAAGCAGAAGCCAGTCTGCAGCACTCACAGAGACAACCAACTAAGCTTCTGGGCCAGTCATTTTAGGAATCCCCTTGTTCTGAATTGCCCCAATAACATGATTTAACCTCAGTGTTAAAAAAACAAAAACAGAAAAACCTTTTAAAATGACTTAATTTCTCGATTCAGAAAATCGTTTTATGTATAGATACAGGGAAGATAGACACAAATAAGAGGCTTTCTCCACCATTGTACTTCTCAACTAGGATTGATACTGGTTCCCTAGGGGTGTTTGGGAATATATGGGAATTTTGTTTGTTTGCAGAATGACTTGGGGCAGGTGTGGGGGGATGCTCTTGGCATTTTGTGGACTGGGGATACTAAATCTCTTGCAATGGGTGGGATTGTTCCATGCAATCAAGAATTTCCTGGCCCATAATGCTTATATTGCCTTTTTAGAGAAACACTGGCATTCTGTTTGCAGCTCTCATTTATCATCGTCTAGGAAGGAACGCTTCAAAAAACTAAAATATTCATATAAATATATCCTCTATTCCCTATGAAAAATTCCAGGAGCTCCTAAGTGTGAGAACTCTTAGTTATCAGTAGTAGAGTTCCAAGATATTTTGCAGAGCCGCCCTAACTTAATTTCTAGCATAGGGAGTTGGCCTGTTTTCCCTCCTTCTGATAAGTTTGCCTCTCCCTGTTATTGGTATAGGTTGGAATTGAGATGGAACATTTCCCAGAATTTGAGAATGATGTGGAGTTCACGGAGCGGTTAGTTGCTGAGCAATCAGTCCACTGCCTCCCAGCAACGGTGAGTGCTTATGTCTCTCTCAGGACGTTCTCAACTGTTTCTAGAGCCTTAGGAGCTCTCCCTGAGTTGGTCCTTAACCTGATTTTTTCCTCCCCCAACAAAGTGTATTCTCATTTGATAAAATTTAAACTGATGTGTCTCATGGCCTTGATTTAAAATTTGTTTCTCCCCCATCATTATCCCATCTGTACTGGGAAGAAAAGTTGTGGCTGAACATTTTAGGTGAGGGGAAATAAGCTTGTCCCACAAGTCCCTATTAAGATGAATTAACTGTTACTAGACTTAGCACCCCAATGATGGTGTCAACTCAGAGAAGAAGCAGAGCTAAAATAAAACAAAAACATTTATTTGGTGTCTCAGAATTGCAATTTGCGGAACACAGATTTAGGCAGCAACCCAAATAGTATCCTCCCACCCCCTACCCTCCCCCTCCCCCCAGAACAAAAGTCAAGGGTTTTTAAAGACAAAACGGAATGCTTGTATATATTGTTTGTAAAGAATTTTAGTTGATTGGTGGCAGAAAACTAATCTTGGCTGAATATAATTGGTTACTAAGGCAATCACTGAGCAAAGACTCTTACTCTAGCAAGTTGCAGTAAGGAGTAACTAAGGACTCTGGCTGAGTCCTTTTAAGATTCGTGGTTTAGCCCAGTTCAAAAATTCACGGATTCACCGGTGAAGAGGTGTATAAGGTCCATCTCCTTAATGACCTCCTGGGTCCATTTTAAAACCCCCTGACATAAGTGACCCCATTTCATTTCACCTTCCACAGTAGAACTGAGCGAACTGATAGCTCTGAGTAAATGACATCACTGCTTCTTGCTGATCGGGACCCTGGTCATTTTAGGGTGGTTCAGTACCAGATTCAACTGCTACAAAAATAACAGGCGCTTATTTTTGCAGTGCTTCGAGTACCCGAATTTCTTCCGAGTGGTAATCACGGTCCCCAAAGTGATGATGCTGGAGGCCTGTAGCCGAATCCAGGAGTTCTGTGAGCTGCACTACCATTGTGCTGAAGGGAGCCAGGAGGAGTGTGACAAATAGGCCCAGGTCCATTCTCTTGAGCGTGTGTCCCATCCGGGGAGGGCTGGACTGGGCCTTGCTGTTCCTCAAGAGGAATCAGGTGCCCCTACTGGGAGAGGGGCCTCAAAAGCATGTCAACGGTTCAGAATTGCTCCTGCTTTCCCCCAACTATGTCCACATACACACTCTGCATCCCAGATTCTCCTCTCACTCTGCTCTGCTGGAGTGACTCACTAATTCATGAATCCGCCCCATCCTATATGACTTCCTCCTTTTTTCCTGAGAGTACTAGGTGAGCAAAATTTACCAGAAAGTGGTAGATACAAGAAAAGTAAAAGCTCATGATGAGAGAAACAAAAGATTGAGAGAATTTGTGCCCCCAAACATTTCCTCATACTGTAAGTAAGAGTACACTCTCTCCAGTCAGGTCTGAGGCCCAACTCTGTTACTGCTTCACTTCAGGTATACCTCGCTTTATGCAATAGAACTATAACGAAAGAAGTTGGGGACACATATATTTGGTTTATTATATTTTAAACACATTAGGAAAATTTGCTAATTTGAAGGATCCCTTACAGAAACCTTCTTGTTAATTTTTTTAAAAAGAATTATTGATTGTACGGGGCGCCTGGCTGGCTCAGTTGGTAGAGCATGTGACTCTTGATCTTGGGGTCATGAGTTTGAGCCCCACACTGGGTACAGAGATTACATACACACATAAATAAATAGAATTACTGATTGTAAAGGTAATCAATGGACTTTCTAAATTTCGATATGTGTACATCAGGGTTTCTTAAAATGAGGGCACATCTGTAACTTTAAAAAAAAAAAAGGAGGAATCATAGGACCTTCCAGAAATACTGTGGTGTAAGGGCCAGAAATATCCTCACTTATCATTTTTATGGAATCATTGCTTTTGCTGTAAGGTTGATATTGATTTATTGATATATATATTATATTATCTTTTCATATGTTTTCTAAGGAACATTTATATTGACAAGATCCTTTATTTTGCCAAGGGCATAAATTATTGTTTTTCTTCTTTTTTAAAAAATAAAATAAATTTTACTAAGTATGCTCTTTTGGAATGTGGTTTTTCTCCTCTGTGGGGAATTCTTATTTCTATTGAACAGCAATTCTTATTGCTGTTCATTGTTTAGTCTGATTGATGCATTACCCACTAGGCTTCATTTATTTCTTTGTCCATGTACTGACATTTGGAGTTACTTAAGAAACACTATTCCTAAAACATCTTATTTGGGAGTTCAACTTCTGGCTTCCTACTTACAAACAAGGCAAACTAAGAAGCAACATTACAAACCTCTGGCATTTGACTTCACACTTCACACTTTTTGGGATTCCCAATCTCTGGTCCCAAATTCCTATGCTCTAGATCCACTAACCACTCAGTGGTGAATGAAACTGAAGGCGTTCAGCTGACCCAGGAAATGAGAGATATCAGACATCTTTCATTATGGGCCTTTTGCCTACAAATCCTCTTAGGCCCAGCTGACTACTTTTTTCCTCACGACTTCTCTTAGAGGAGGAAGCATGAAGTTTCTTGCAAGGTTGGGGGCGGGAGTATACTATAATCAGTCTGGAGATTACTCACTAAAAGAAATTTTCCTCATCTAGAAGAGGAACTTCAGGTCTCAACCCTGCCAGTCACACCCAGTTAATTTCCTTTACAAAAATAAATATCAAATATCCATATTTAGTGAGTTCCCACTAAAATTTACCTTTTAATTTTCTTTGGCAAATCCAAAGGGAACATACAACAATTGAGATGATAAAAATTTGTTTCCTGTATGCCGCCAATGCCAATAATTTTCTGAAAGTGCCTGGTTCTCTTTTCCTATACCCCCCTGGCCCCAACCCCCAAAAGATCTCTGTCCAGAACTACACAGGAAGACTTGGTGGTTTACACAAGACGTTTTATCTTAACATGTGCATATAATTCTATCCAGTTTACTGAATTCTACTCAGACTTCTTAAACTTCCGAATTTCGTGTCTACGTTTTGATAAGGGGATCAAGGAAATAACTCAAACATTAAAAAAAATAATACACGCACACTGGGCAAATTTCAAAGGATGCAAACGAACAAAAAACAAAAACATTCCTCATGCCCGTGTCCTTCAGCCACCCAGTCCTTTGTCCCCTGAGGTAATCAGTTAGCAGTTGCTGGTCCATTCTTTGAAATTATTCTGTGATTACGTAAACGTGTGTGTGTATTAAGTTTTCCTTTTTTCTTTCCTTTCTTCAAAGTAACTATTACTCAACTTTATAATTCAGCTTCCCATGGAAGACAAATAAGGGATATTTCTGAGGTGTCCATCACCTCCCGGGCGTTCCTAGATAAACAGAACTCCTGGGCGGGTCTGCTTCCAAACGAGATTAAAATTCCCCCAGGGCTAGATGCTTCTCGGACAGCCCCGGCAGGAGAGAGGGTGCAGTCCGAGCATCTCAAAAAACAATGCGTTAAGGGCGCCTGGGTGGCTCAGTTGGTTGAGCGACTGCCTTCGGCTGAGGTCATGATCCTGGAGTCCCTGGATCGAGTCCTGCATCGGGCTCCCTGCTTGGCGGGGAGTCTGCTTCTCCCTCTGACCCTCCCCCCTCTCATGTGCTCTCTCTCAAATAAATAAATAAAATCTTAAAACAAACAAACAAACAAAAAAAAACAACAAAAAAAAACCAAAAAAAAAAACAATGCATTAAAAAAAAGTCTGTGAATTCACCTTTCTTTCTAGGCCAGAACACCGCCTATCGGGTGACTGGCAAGTACCACACAGCTGATGCTACATCGTAACCCACCCCAGTCCCTAAGGAGCCAACAGTACCCTGACAGGGGGCGGGAGTGAAGCCGCGTGAGGAGAAACTGCGGCTGCGCAGGCGCTGATGCGCGTGCGGGGCGCCCTGCAGCTCAGGGAGCGTGCGCCATCACGGGCGCCGAAGCGCTGCTCAGGGCGCAGCCGCAGAACCTGAGCGGACGGCGAGGGTCGGTCTCTTTGGCAGGTGCTGGGTCTTTCTCAGTGGGGCGTTTCGGTTTTGTTTCCTCCTCCAGCTTCGATCTCGGACCCGCGTCCTGTGGAGAGATTCTCTTCCTCGTTTGCTCCCTGTCTGGGCTACATCTGGCAGGACGCTTCCCGGAAGTTGACACATGCCTAGGTAATGTAAACACCTGTTAAATAAGTGAACTGTGCATTTTCCTTTTCCGATGAGTTGTGACACAGAAGCAGAAATTTCCCCGTAGCTGTTGTTAGCTGACCATTGTGTGGTCCCTGGAACTTTTCTCCAAGGAATTGTGCCCTTCATGGTCCCGAGTACTCGGCGTTTATGTTCGAATCTCTCCTCAGGCAGAAAAAAGGAATCCACCGCTATGCTCCGCACACTCCGCACATTACTACCAGGAGGGGCTGTGTTTTAAGTACCCTAGAGGTTGAATTATTGAGTCCGTAGAAGAACTGAATTCCCGGTACATCTTATTCATACTCCTTTATTTTAAACAATTTGCCTGTATTTACAAACAAGTTTCGTAGGGTTTCCTAGAACCTGCAAATCCGGATGATTTCCATGGGTCACATTGTTACAGAGCACCTTCCAAAGAGGCAGTCACTTTCCGACATTACAATTGAGATATATTATGTAGTAGGTGATGCCATTTCTGCAAAGGAAACAATGAGATGAACCACCAAGTGTGTCTTAATTTTTGTCAGTGTTCCGAGCATGGAAAAGAATTCTTGCTCTTTGAGACATTTACTCATTTGGTAACTGAAATGCAAAGGACATCATGGAATTCAAAGTACATTATGCCCCATTTAAAAAATAAAGCCACAGGAGTTCTTTGGCAGCACGTATACTAAAATTTGAACAATACAGAGAAGATGGGCGTGGTGCTAGTACTTTAAAATTGAAGAGCACATCAAAAGGATTATACACCATGACCAAGTGGGCTTTATTCCAGGAATCCAAGAATGGTTCAACATAGGAAAACCAATCAATGTAATACACAACCACAACAAAATGAAGGGTGAAACAACACGATCATCTCTATCGATGCAGACAAAGCATTTGACAAGATTCTACACTCTCATGATAAAAACACTCAAGCTAGAATTAGAAGGAAATGACATCAACATAATAAAGACCATCCATGAAAATCTCATGGCTAACATCATACTAGTGAAAGGCTGAAAGCTTTTCCAAGGATGCCCACTCTCGCCAGTTCTACAGTTCTATTCAACCTTATGTTGGCAGTCCTAGCAGATAGGCAAGAAAAAGAAATAAAAGGCATCCAAATTAGAAAGGAAGCAGTAAAATTATCTCTATTATTAAATGACATCATCTTATAGGTAGAAAACCCTAATATTCCATAAGAAAACTACTAGAGAAAAAAACCTACTAGAACATAACTATACTTCAATAAAAACATAAAAATTAAAAAAGCAAAAATTAAGAAATACCTATTACTGGGGCGCCTGGGTGGCTCAGTTGGTTAAACGACTGCCTTCGGCTCAGGTCATGATCCTGGAGTCCCGGGATCGAGTCCCGCATCGGGCTCCCCGCTCAGTGGGGAGCCTGCTTCTCCCTCTGACCCTACCCCCTCTCATACTCTCTCTCTCTCATTCTCTCTCTCTCAAATAAATAAATAAAATCTTAAAAAAAAAAAAAAAGAAATACCTATTACAACTAACAATGGAATTCAGCAAAGTTGCAGGATACAAAATCAATGCACAAAAATCAGTTGTGTTTCTATACACTAACAACAATAGCATCAAAAAGAATAAAATACTTGGGAATAAACCTAACCAAGGAGATGAGAGGTGAAATGATGCTCAACATCACTAATCATCAGAGAAATGCAAAACAAAACCACAATGAGATATCACCTCATGTCCATTAGGATGATTACAAAGAAAAAAGGGAGGGAGGGAGGATGGAAAGGACGGGAGGAAGGGAGAAAGAAAGGAAAAGAAAAGAAAAAAGAAGTGCTGGAAAGGACGTGAAGAAATCGGAATCATTGTTCACTGTTGGTGAGAATGTAAAATGGTGCATCCACAATGGAAAACATGGCAGTTCCTCAAAAAATTAAAAATTGAACTACCATTTAATCCAACAATACTACTTGTGGGCATATATCCACAAGAATTGAAAGCAGGGGTCAAGGAGATATTTGTAAATCTATGTTCATAGCAGCATTATTCACAAGAGTCAAGGGGTAGAAGCAATCCAGATGTTCACTGAGGGATAATGGTTAAACAAAATAGAACAGAATGCTATTCAGGCTTAAAAAGGAAGGAAATGCTATAACATGGATAAACCTTGAGAATATGATGTTAAATGAAATAAGCCAGTCACAAAATGACAAATAATGTATGATTCCACTTCTATGAGGTATCTACAGTAGTCAAGTTCATAGAAACAGAAAGTATAATGGTGGTTATCAGGCATTGGGGGAGGGGGAAAAGGGGATTTCTTGTTTAGTGGGTATAGAGTTTCCTATTTGCAAGATGAAAAAGTTCTGAAGATTTGTTTTACAACAATGTGAATATACTGAAAATTACTGAACTGTACACTTACACTTAGAAATGGTTAAGATGTGGGCGCCTGGGTGGCTCAGTTAGTTAAGCGACTGCCTTCGGCTCAGGTCATGATCCTGGAGTCCCTGGATCGAGTCCCGCATCGGGCTCCCTGCTTGGCAGGGAGCCTGCTTCTCCCTCTGACCCTCCCCCCTCTCATGTGCTCTCTCTCTCTCATTCTCTCTGTCTCAAATAAATAAATAAAATCTTAAAAAAAAAAAAAAGAAATGGTTAAGATGTTAAATTTTATGCTATGTTTCCTTTCTATCGAATGAAAAAAAGCAGATCCTAAGAGTTCTCATCACAAGGAAAAAAAAACATTTTTTTTTCTCTTTTGGTGTATCTATATAAGATGATGGATGTTAACTAAACTTACTGTACAAATCACTTCACAATATATATGTCAAGTTGTTATGATGTATCCCTTAAATTATATAGTGCTGTATGTCAATAATATCTCAATAAACCTGGAAAAAATTGAAAGCCACAAAAATGTGAG